GGGGGTGTCACCCAGAAGCATAGCCCAAGTTTGAAATACAGACATACATACATACCTATAACTCATAATACAAAGGCGATACAAACATATAAACAAGATTATCAAATCTGGGAAATTATAACATTTTTGCAGATACCTTACATGGCATATCTGGCTGATTATTTCATAGGCGTTATCCCAGGAGCCAACATTTGAAATCCAGGTATAGAGCCAACACTTATAACTTTAAATACAAAAATGATACATGCATACAGATAGCACAATCATAACCCACCAATCATAACCTTTTTATAGACATCTTACTCAACAACCTTTGTACAATATTGGTAGCAACAATGATCTATATGGTCATATTTCAATCAGATAAGATCACAGAGGGGGGTTTTCAGTTTGACCTGCTGACAAGCAGAAATCTTCCACCAAAAGTTTGGCTGAAATGAAAGTTTTGTTTTCATCAAAATTTTCTCAGAGGGAATCAACACATCCCAGTTTCCAATCAGCACGGAACAACAGGGCTGATAGTCTAGCTCAGTGTTTCTCAGATGTGGCCACCGTGGCTGCATGCAGCCATCAGGGGCTTTTCTTGCAGCCACAGCCTCCTGAGTGGTGATCGGGGGGGAGGGCGGCAATGCAGTGGTCGCTCCCCCGGGGCTGCTAGCAGGGGCTGGGTCCTCCCCCCCTCTGGAGCCAGCCGGTATGAGTTCCCCATCTTCCTGAGGGCAGTGGGGCTCAGGTTTCTGGCTTCAACCCTGGGGTGGTGGGTGACAGGCTCCAGCCACACGGCAGCAGACTCCGACCATGGGGATTCAGGCTCTGGGCTTTGGCTGTGCAGTGGCAGGCTCCGTCCCCCAGCCACAGGGCTCACCACCTCTTTTATCACCCCTGGTTCCCGCTGCCTCCTCCGGCCCCTCACCCATCCAGCCCATGACCCTGGGCCCCCAACTGCCTCCCTACTCACCTCCCCATCCAAGGCTTAACTTGTCCCCCAGCTTGCCAGGGCTGAGTATGTCTGTTGTGAAAAGTGATATTTTATGTTTGTTAATATCACTTTTCACTGCCTCCTAGGTAGCTAACAAACCTTCTGCTGTGAAGAGTGATATTAACAAACATACAAATATCACTTTTCACAGAAGCAGACTTATGAGCTAGCAAGTCTAAAAAGAAAACACAACAAGAAAAAGACAAGAACATACAAAGCACCTTATTTGTGTTTCTATTCGGTTTAGTTCCGATGAAGACACAGAGCCAAGTGTACGCTATTTTTATTATTCAGTCTGCGAAAAACCCCTACAGACATAAATTACTATGATTTGGACATTGCGTGTGCGTGTCTGGCTGACACCACAGGGGGGTGCTGTACCATCACACAGAGTAAGCCATCACTAAGGGGTGAGAGTTGACATATAGATACAGCAGGGTCCTTGTGAGAAGAAAGAGAAGACACTGAATTCCCATTGATTCCTCCTGGAACAGTCTCCCTACCACAAGGTTACAGTTTCGTGTATCAATGGCTATATTTTGGTTACATTGCTGGGTTGGATTTTCTTCCTCACCTGGTACCTATTCTAGAGCCCTGCAAGGGATTGTTTTTTTTTTTAACTCCACTCTCATCCCTCTCCGCAATACCCACTCGGGCATTGTTTCTTGCATTTTTATCCCGTTCCCGACCACAAAAACCTGAGACCCAGCAAATCCCACAAGAGAGAAAGATTCCCCCACGCTACTAGAAAAACCCCAAAACAGTCCGTTAATATATGGATATAACGATATATTATGGATATAAATGGAATTCAGACACAATTTATACCACGAAAGAAATAAAACAAATCTTGCTTAAATCATGTAGAAAAACACTTTAACTCCAGTTATAATAGATGTCAAATCTCTTTCTGTCCCTTGCTTAAGCAGAAGTATTAAAACCTTTATTTAAAAAGCTATGGTGCCGTCCCACAGATTACTGCACTCTGGTTTTTTTCTTTTCTGGCAGCAGGTTCTGCGATACCCACGGGAGTCCAGTCCCACTGCAGGGCTCTGAGCTGCTCCACCCCTGCATTGGCATTTCCACATTCATCTAGGCAAGGGAATGATCACTGCACTAGACAAAAAACGCCTCAGCGGAAACAAACCCTGTTCTGCCCATGCCAGCACAGCTCCCCTTTTACACTCAACGATCTCAGAGCTAGACTCTAAAGCAAACAGGCAGGTGTTTCTGTGTGGTCACTCCTTATTTGAGGTCAAATTTCCAAGATCTCCTTACATTTACTGACAGAGTAAGAACGGTCTACCAGTAATAATAATGCTATGCCTAGGGAATTTGTGTGTGTGACAAAGAGTACTTGACCTTGAAGGGGTCAGGGAGTGGGGGGAAAAATTTTCTTTGCTTTAGCTCATAGTAGAATTTAATTCTTTATGAACCTTCCCCCGTGTCTTTCATTACACCCTCCCCCATCCCCCTTCCTTCCCTGAGGTTTGTTTAAGGAGTCTGCTCTAGTGGAGGAAGCAGCAAAGCTACCCATCAGAGTCCTACACCTTCATCTTGCCCCACCGATATGACTCTCCCTTCAGCGCATGAAGAGGGACCTAGATCTTTCTCTCTCCTTTACACCTGTTAAATCGTTACAGCTCCCACCCCGTGTTTCCTATACCTTGGATGCTCGCCAGTCCGGCCTTCTAGCAACCTACGCCCCAACTTCCCCTGGTCGATCCAGGTGTGAAGTGGCAGGAGTTTATACTTATTCCCTGCACGGGGGCATGGTGTACACCTCTGTTTTTAACTATAGCCCCACTTTCCACAGTTCATTCCTAACGGTGGTCTGGCTTTAGGCCAAGGGGTGTATTTTAGGTATGGCGTTGTGAAGGGACCACAGCTCAGTCCATCTTCCCTGCCCTAGCCCAGCCCCACCCCAACCCCCTTATTAAAGCCTGCTGTGGAAGAGTCATGCCTAAACCATGGAAGGGAGAGTACAAATATACATGTTCCCTTTGCACTGGGCCAATCCAGGGGGTCCTTAGGATGCTGTTCGCATCTAGCTGGGGTAGAGGACATGGGCAGTGCCATGACTGGCCACAAGCGAGGGCAGCCAGGAGGAAAACAAGAGCTCTGCCTGTTGGTGGAGTGCTTCAGTCAAACAGGTACTGTCTTGGGACAGGTCCAGATAAACTCAAACTCAGCATTGCCAACCCCAAGTCTTTAAAAAAAAAAAAGAAGTGGGAGTCAGCACCCTCCAAACCCATGATATTTAAAAATCATAATACAAACCTGTTGGGTTTTTTTTAAATTTATTTGCCTTGTGCCCCACCCCCCACCCCTGGGGCCAAGTTTTTACAGTTCACTTTTCCAAGTTTCTCTCTGTAACCCTCATGCCAGGAAATGAACTGTTTGTTTTTTAAAGAAAGCCAAGATTCCTGGAGTCATGTCATCATGATTCCAGGAAAGAGGACTTTATCAGGGACAAACATCACAAGACTCTCAGTGAAAGTCAAGAGCTAGCAGCTCTGCAAACTGGATTTTTCTACCTACCCCCTTCCTCCCCAAAATAGATCCTAGCACCTACTCCCCCCTCTCCCCAAAAGCAACAATGGGTCAGGTCAAGGTCCCATTTTATCCAGCTCTTCCCCTCACGTACACACACTTTAAAGGCAGAGGCAGGGTTGAAGAGAACAGGAATCAGATAAATGGGTTCAGAGATAGGGCAAAACCCAGGATGGTTTAGAACCTCACCACCTCCCCCACTTTCTAAAAAAAAAAAAGCGGGGGTGGAATAAATACTTTAGCTCATCTTCACTTACAAGGAGGTAACTCCTAACCACAAAACTCAGACTGAACCAGGGAGGCCTGTTGCCACCCCAACCCCCCCATTCAGCGAGTGGGAGCAATCATCCCCTACCTGAACCTCTCTGGCCTTCCAGGCTGCCAACACACCATCTCCAGCTCAGCAAGGGACATAATGGCACATGCAGCAGGATTCCAGCTCCTGCTCCAATTTGCCCTTCTTGGTCATCGAATATTATTTCCTAGGGTAACATCATCATGCACTTGGTGGGAATGACCCATCCTCAGGAGCAAGAGAAAACTGAACAGGAGAGGGACTCACCAGCTTGGAAGGAAGGCAGGAGATGCAGCCACTCATCAAACATGGCTGCTTTAGGGCTGCAGCTCCTTGGCTCTGCCAAATTTAAAGGGCCAGCTCCAGCAAGGCATGGTGGGAAGAGAGCTCCTTTAAGAAGGCAACCTTGTACCAGGGAAAAGTTAGGAGGGGCCAAGAGGTCACCCAGGAAAGTGCTGATTCTGCAATGCATGCATCACCTCCATGTGTTACATGCCTTAATAGCCCTTTTTATCCAAGCACATCAAAGGACTTTGCCTCCAAACAGAGGCATGAGGTGGTATTCTGCCTGGTTCACAGATGTATACACAGAGGCATAAGGAATGGTAGAGAAGAGGAATACATAGTATTTGACAGGTTTCAGAGTAACAGCCGTGTTAGTCTGTATTCGCAAAAAGAAAAGGAGGACTTGTGGCACCTTAGAGACTAACTAATTTATTTGAGCATAAGCTTTTGTGAGCTACAGCTCACTTCATCGGATGCATACCGTGGAAACTGCAGCAGATATTATATACACACAGAGATCATGAAACAATACCTCCTCCCACCCCACTGTCCTGCTGGTAATAGCGTATCTAAAGTGATCATCAAGTTGGGCCATTTCCAGCACAACTCCAGGTTTTCTCACCCTCCACCCCCCCACACAAACTCACTCTCCTGCTGGTAATAGCCCATCCAAAGTGACAATGGGAAGAGAGTTGTCACTTTGGAGAGTGAGTTTGTGTGTAGGGGGGTGGAGGGTGAGAAAACCTGGAGTTGTGCTGGAAATGGCCCAACTTGATGATCACTTTAGATAAGCTATTACCAGCAGGACAGTGGGGTGGGAGGAGGTATTGTTTCATGATCTCTGTGTGTATATAATATCTGCTGCAGTTTCCACGGTATGCATCCGATGAAGTGAGCTGTAGCTCACGAAAGCTCATGCTCAAATAAATTGGTTAGTCTCTAAGGTGCCACAAGTACTCCTTTTCTTTTTACATAGTATTTGTTTTACTATGAATATATACTTCGTAACGCCAAGGAAGCACAAGAGGGGAACAGCGTAACATACATAGGTTTGCGGTCTTTCATTCAGCCCTATATCTCATATGAAGCTATGTAGAAATAACAGAACATCTAGGTACCTATAGGAAATAGAAAAGGCAAAGATCTGCCAAGTGCTGAGCACCCCGACCTTCTTTTGAGCTCAATGTTCTTTCTAGGATGGAGTCTCGAGATGGCCTGATGTGCCTGGAGCTAACTCCACCTTCTCACTCCAAAAGCAAATGGAGCTGTCTGCTCTGGAGTTTACAGTCAAGTGAAATCTTGATATCAGGGGCCCGGAGGAGAGCTGCCTCTTTGGAATGATGATGTGATTTGGATTTGGAAAGAGGACCTGCACTAGTTCTGTTTCCCTCTGTGTTTTTATTGTCACCCTCTGAGAGATGTAACCCTTTGGGTTATGCTTCCTAGCAGAGATTTGCCTGGCAGTATCAGATGTTGCACCACCAACTTGTTTCCTTCCTGTTTAGGAGGTTAAAAAACAACAAACAAACACAAGGAGACTCGGGTCTCTCTAATCAAAGAGTAAAAATGAGGTTTTGGGGGCAGAGGTTTGTTTTCTACAAAGACTCAGTTCGTTCCTACTTTAGCTTTCTCGCTACATCACCAGGTATTCTTGCCGAAGTGAGGAGATGGGACATCATATCTCTTGACAGTACACACTCCCATCAAAGGGAGTGAGGGGGAACCAAGTGTCTCCCCCTTTCCTCTCCCCAGAGAGATGGGGCCAGGCTACTTAGAGAGTCTTCACCACTTCCTGGTTTCGTTGTGTTCTTAACTTGGCATCATTCCCTCCCTCCTTCCCTCCCGCAAGAACCCTCCCCGCAGGTCACCAGCGAGAAGACTGGAAGACACCACAGTGCTATTGCTGTTGTACTGATGCTGTGGCAATACTGAGCGCTTAATGCACCAGCACTCAGCTGTGAGGAGCACGTCCTTCCGCCTCTGCAGCCTGCTCCTGGAAACAGGGCATGGCACACACCCAGAGGAGACTTCCCAGAGCCCTAAGCTCCGGCCAGCTGGGAGATGCCTGCACTAAAGCCACAGCAGAGCGAGTTCTTCTCTTGGGAAAGCAGCAAAGGCGTGTCTTTCTAACCCACGTTGCAGCACTGGTGGGTTATCTTTCATGTCACTAGTGTGTTATGACCGCGAAGAGAATCTGCAGCGCCATGGAGAAGCAAGGCAGCTGTGCCACGCTGTAGGCCACCGAGCGTGTGGGAGCTTTCAGCCGCAGGAGGTAGGCCACGGTGTGAACTATCCGCCCCACACAGAAGATCAGGAAGTGGATCCTTGCCACGATGAGATTGGGGTCCAGCAGGGAGTAGATGGCCCCAAGGAAGAGGAAGGGGAAAATGTTCTCCATGTCATTGCGATGGGCCCTGGAAATGTGAACAGGACAATTCAGGCTTATGGGGCTGCCTTGGAGTTCATTCCCTCCCACCAATCACTGAGCTGCCCAATTCTTCTTCCCACCCCATCCCCATACACTAGTCAGCCCATATTGCTGCCCCTGCCTTTCTGGACTGGATGGACTCTCCCTTGGCAGCCTATCCGTACAGCGCGAGAATGGGATGGATGGGTTGCTGTTAGGTGGAATGCCACGGACTACTGGTGAGGAGTAAGCAGCAGAAACAAATGAGCGAAGAAATGAAGAGTTGCCAGGATTTTCAAAGGGGCCTGGTACCCAACTCCAGCTGGATTTCAGTGGGAGTTAGGCACCTAACTTCTTACCCAGGATCTTTTTAAGGCAAGCGTTCTTAGTGATGAAAAACAGGGGGGGGGGGGGGAGACTGACTGATTTTAGAGCCTACAGTAAGACACATTTTTCCTACTAAACTCCCCCTACCCCGCCCCAATGGAAGAGTTTATGAAACAAGGACAAAGCAATGCTTCCCAGAAGCTGGGGAAACCAAAATCCTGGCTGAAACATACTCACTATGTCAGCACACAGACGTGTGTAAATTTTTCCAAATTTCCCATGAGAAGCCAAAAGGAAATTGAAGATCATCCAAGCTTTTACTAATTTTTGGATGCAAGTTTCCCTGGCTCTGCCCCTGTACCCCCTCCTTTGGCTGGGGGAGAGTCTAACGGGAAGTGTTGGGCAATCTTAAGTATAGGCAGTGCTACCAGCTATCCCGAATTATACATAAAATAGTCACAGTTAAGATGACGCTCAAATTCATGATCGGTCAAATTCAATCCCACTCCCAGTTGAAGTCCATGGGAGTCTTTCCACTGGACTTAGTGAATACTGGACAGGATCTTTGCAACACATTCTCTCTTCGAGCCCCCCATCCTATAAGGTGCAGAGCGCCCTCAACTCCTACTGAAGTGATATGAGCTGAGGGTACTCTATGCCTGATAGGATTGGGCCTCAAAAAATTAAAATTAGTGCAGGCCCCCTCCCAAAAGCCACTAGAAACGACCCTCCTTCACACTGCAGCTCCCAGCCTACAGTGTTCGTTCATAGAGACCTTCCCCCACCCCCAAAACCCATGCATAGAATAATCTCCACTTCAACTCTGGCTTCTGCTGAATGAATTAGGGCACTCCCCAAGGATGGATCAGCTTTCCCCATGGATCAGCTTTCCCCCTTGTTTTCTATGTCCTTGTTTATTTAGTCACTCAGTAGGTTCCTCTTTCCAGCCTGAAAAATCCCACTGCATTTGACAGGTAATTCTAACTTAATGCTGCTTTTGTTTGAGCTGAAACAGGTTGTATAAGCAGGGTCAGCAGAAGGAGTGGAGACGGTACAGGAAATAGGAGCAGTTTATTTCTCAAGCCCAGGCTTATACCGCAAACCACTTACATTTGATACATTCACCTTTAAATGGTTTGTGATAGAGATGACAATGCACTTAGTCACCCACGAGTGGCTCAATACCCATAAGAGACTGGGGCCAGGGGGAAAAAATCCTAACACAAACAGTCACCAGGAATGGAATGCTGGAAATTCAGAAGCAGCTCTGAGTTATGAGGCTTGGGCCAGTCTCTACAAAATACCTTGACAGGCAACCTGCAAAAGGAAAAGCTATTGGCTTCTTTGTGATCGGTCTGAGAGGCTGGAGAGGGTTTTGCTTCTATTTTTCTGCTTCCCCTGGTTGTTTTAGCTGGAGGTCTCATTAGGGGACCTAGAGCAATGGGGTGGGAGCTTTCTCAGCCCTTATCAGGAGATCATCATCCTTCCTTTCAACTCTCTGGTGGACACAGGCGTTACATCAGTGTTTAAAAGAGGTTTAGCGGTTGTCTTCTTTAACAAAAGAGGGGTGTTCTTACTACAGAATAACTAACATGCATTCGCTGTCCTGGTATAAAAACACAGTGGAGAGCGGGCACTGTGGTTTTACTGAGGATTAAAGTACTGGGGGGGGTCAGCAGGGACAGGGGCTATAGGACTGACCTCACCTAGCCCAGCCAGCCCTACAGCTGGCCTTGTTAGCGAGATAACCCGTGTTTTGTTTTGTTTTTTTCTTTCCAAGTACTTTAATGGATTCCATAACAATGAACAAGATTGAGTTTAGAACTGGATCACCTGGCCCTTTCTCTTCTTGTCTCCTCCCAGCTCAAAGTGCTTGCACCTCTGAATGGCCAGCACTCTTTTGGACCTGCAGTTGGGCTCCACACACTCAAGCCTCAGCACCATCTTCTTCATGGTCTTGGCCTTCTTACAGAAGATAGGCTTTGTCTGACCACCATAACCACTCTGCTTCCGATCATATCTCCTCTTTCCCTGAGCATAGAGAGAGTCCTTTCCCTTCTTGTACTGGGTCACTTTGTGGGGCCGGTGCTTGCCACATTTCTTGCAGTAAGTCCTGCGGGTTTTGGGGACGTTCATCATCCTGCCAGCACAGCAGCGCCGTGTTAGTTCTCTCCCTGTTAAACTCTGCCCCCCAAACACCTGCATGTTAATGAGGACAGAGCCTTGAACAGTTTGACCAAAACAAAACCCTTCCTCTCTCAGTCAGGTTTCACTGGCTTGGTACCTGTGAAGTCAAAAGCCTACTGGGTCTCTAGTTATCCATAGAGTCTTCCAGGAAGGGAGGGTAGACCAGACCCAAATTGCGAGTGTTAAAAATAATCAGAAAAAAGTTGTCCTTTTTCCCATCAAAGAAGAAGAGTATAAACCCATTTCCCTGTCCCATTGCATGTCAGCTTTAAAATAACTCCTTCCCCTTATCCCCCAGAGATGACTGGTATTTCAGTGTACAAGCCCTTGTTTACACTGCAAGCTCTTTGGGGCAGGGACTCTTTTTGTTCTGTGTCTGTATAGCACCTAGCACAATGGGGCCTTGGTCCATGACTGGGACTCCTAGGTGCTACCACGATACAAATGAGCACAGCTGGTCAAATTTGGAGTTTCCATCCCATGGATAATTCCTGGATTTTAAATATGGTTTAATCTCAAATCAGGACAGAAAGTTGAAGTGTGTTGCTTCAGTTTGTATGAGATAGGACATTGTGTCACAATGTAATGGGCTAAAGCATGACATGAGACATGGCACATGGCATATCACCACCACATGGCATGGCGGCATCACAACAGGACCCTGCATCATAGCCTGACATATCACACTCCGACATCATTATGTCACGGTAGGATATGAAGACTCATGATGTTCTGAGCCAAGAGGTGACATTACATCACTACTATAATACTACAACAAAAGTCAAATAAAACATTGATAAATGATCACAAAAACCTACACATTCCCACAAACATTCCGATTCTGTCAAATCAGTATTTTCTAGGGCTGTCAAGCAATTAAAAAAATTAATCGCGATTAATCGTGCGATTAATCACGTTGTTAAACAATAATAGAATACTATTTATATAAATATTTTTGAATGTTTTTCACATTTTCAAATATATTGATTTCAATTACAATACAGAATACAGAGTGTACAGTGTTCACTTTATATTTATTTTTGATTACAAAAATATTTGCACTGTAAAAAAGCAAAAGAAATAGTATTTTTCAATTCACCTAATACAAGTACTGTACTGCAATCTCTTTATCATGAAAGTTGAACTTATAAATGTAGAATTATGTACAAAATATAACTGCATTCAAAAATAAAACAATGTCAAACTTTAGAGCCTAAAAGTCCACTCAGTCCTACTTGTTGTTCAGCCAATCGCTCAGACAAACAAGTTTGTTTACATTTGCAGGAGATAATGCTGCCTGCTTCTTGTTTACAATGTCACCTGAAAGTGAGAATATGCATTCGCATGGCACTGTTGTAGCCAGCGTTACAAGATATTTAAGTGCCAGATGTGCTAAAGATTCATATGTCCCTTCATGCTTCAACCACCATTCCAGCGGAAATGCTTACATGCTAATGAGGGGTTCTGCTCGATAACTATCCAAAGCAGTGCGGACCGACACATGTTCATTTTCATAATTTGAGTCAGGTGCCACCAGCAGAAGATTGATTTTCTTTTTGGGTGGTTTGGGTTCTGTAGTTTCCCGCATCCGAGTATTGCTCTTTTAAGACTTCTGAAAGCATGTTCCATACCTCGTCCCTCTCAGATTTTGGAAGGCACTTCAGATTCTTGAACCTTGGGTTGAGTGCAGTAGCTACCTTTAGAAATCTCACATTGGTACCTTCTTTGTATTTTGTCAAATCTGCAGCGAAAGAGTTCTTATAACGAACAACATGTGCTGGGTTATCATCAGAAACTGTTATAACATGAAATATATGGCAGAATGCGGATAAAACACAGAGCAGGAGACATACAATTCTCCCCCAAGGAGTTCAGTCACAAATTTAATTAACGCATTATTATTTTAATACGCGTCATCAGCATGGAAGCACGTCCTCTGGAACGGTGGCCGAAGCATGAAGGGGCATACAGCTGTTTAGCATATCTGACACGTAAATACCTTGAAACATCGGCTACAACAGTGCTATGCAAATGCATGTTCTCACTTTCAGGTGACATTATAAATAAGAAGCGGGCAGCATTATCTCCTGCAAATGTAAACAAACTTGTTTGTCTGAGCGATTGGCTGAACAAGAAGTAGGCATGGGTGGACTTGTAGGCTATAAACAAACATTGATTTGTTTTTGAGCGCAGTTATGTAACAAAACCCCCTACATTTGTAAGTTGTGCTTTCACAATAAAGAGATTGCACTACAGTACTTGTATGAGGTGAATAGAAAAATACTTTCTTTTGTTTATCATTTTACAGTGCAAATATTTGTAATAAAAATAACAGAGTGAGTACTGTACATTTTGTATTCTGTGTTGTAACTGAAATCAATATATTTGAAAACATAGAAAAACATCCAAAATATTTAACAAATTTCAATCGGTATTCTATTCTTTAACAGTGTGATTAAAACTGCAATTAATCGCGATTAATTTTTTTTGAGTTAATCGCGTGAGTTGACTGCCATTAATCGTCAGCCCTAGTATTTTCCCTAACAGAAAACTCTTCTGTTGGAATTTTTTTGACCAGCTCTAGCAATAAGCCTTAAGCAATAAGGCTTTGAAAACCTGGATTTTAGAGGTTTCATCCTAGTCTCTAGTCAACGCTGGCCTTTTCTGTAGCATGGCAAGCCTTAGCAGGAGTGCATCCTACTCATCTGCACCATGCTGCCCTCTGGCCATGTTATTAGCTAACTTGGCATGCCTAGGTCTCCAAGGCAAGGGTGGGGTGAGGACGGACAGTGAGAGCCCGGTACTTTGAGCATCTGCACTGACGCAGAAATGCTGGGAAGAGGGATCTGGATGACAGGCCTCAATGCCTGGCAGCTGCTTCCAATCACCACATCCCCAATTCTGAGGGAGACGGAGCGTGCGCCAAAGCAACCCAGTCACCATTTCCTGTCTCCCCATCCTCACTCCAGACCCGTAAATGCGGATATTATGTAAACACGACAACCACAGCCCGTGGCCAACACCTCAATCAAGCCATTTCCTGCCCCGAGCTGTCCAGGCATGGGAAGGCAGCCACTGAGTCTGTTTATTTTTAATGAAGATTCTGCTGGCTAAAAGGCCCAACCCTACTCCCCAGTTACCCTCACCTGGGTGACTCTGTGCCAAAATCTCTCGCTTCCTAAGTGCCTTTTGCTCAGTAACTTTCTCCTGGAGCCTGCCTTGGTAGCTGTCAGGGTTCCCTCCCCACTCTGAACTCTGGGGTGCAGATGTGGGGACCCACACAAAAGACCCCCTGAGCTTATTTCTACCAGCTTAGGTTAAAAACATCCCTAAGGCACAAATCCCTTGTCCTTGGACGGACGGTATGCTGCCACCACCAAGTGATTTAGACAAAGATTCAGGGAAAGGCCCACTTGGAGTTCCTATTCCCCCAAAATATCCCCCCAAACCTCTACACCCCTTCCTGGGGAGGCTTGAGAATAATATCCTCACCAATTGGTACAGGTGAGCACAGACCAAACCCCTGGGACACTGAAAATCAATCAAGTTCTTAAAAGAAAAATTTTATTACAAAAAGTAAAAGCATCACCTCTGTAAAATCAAGATGGAAGGCAGTTTTACAGGGAAAAATAAAAAGATTTAGGACACAGAGAATTCCCCTCTAGGGTTAGTTTCAAAGTTACAAAAAACAGGAATAAACCTCCCTCTAGCAAAGGGAAAATTCACAAGCTAAAACAAAAGATAACCTAACCCGCCTTGCCTGGCCTTACTTACTATTTTTGTAATATTAGGGAATTGTTCAGGATTGTTTGGAGGAGACGGATTTCTGCCTGGCCCTCTCAGTTCCAAGAGAGAACCCCCCTAAACAAAGAGCCCAAACAAAGCTGCCCCCCCCCCCCGCCCTGTATTTGAAAGTATCTTCTTTCCCCATTGATTCTTTTGGTCAGGTGCCAACCAGGTTATTTGAGCTTCTTAACCCCTTACAGGTAAGGGGGAATTCTAGACTACTCTTGGCTGTATGGTTCTGACAGTAGCTAAACTCTGTGGGCTAAATTCTTCTCTTGGTTACACCAGTGTAAATCCAGAGCAACTCCCCATAGCCTGGGCAGTCTGGCCACATTGCACACTGGGTGGTCTCCATGAGAAATGGCAGACCTGGGGGGGCAGTCTGGATTTTTTAAGTGCAGGTACTCCACCCCCACCAGTATGGCTCTACCCCAGAGGCTTGACCTGCCCTGGTGCGTTTCTGTATAAAATGGCATCCTCCATGTGGCATGGCCTTGCATGTTCAGTGTGCGTGAGGTCAAAAGTGTGGTCCCGCCCCATTGTTCCACATGGATGCATACAATTATTTGGTTAAGTCTCTCTTACACACACAAATCTGAAATCACAGACTCCTCAGTGAGCTGGTAGGAATAGCAGGTTTCTTATCCTCCCTGTGGGCAGATACTAAAGGGCAACCTGTTCTCACACAAAAAGCCGCACCATTACGGGGCATTTCCCCACTTCCATAAGCAACACATCCCCAGAGCACACACCTCCGGCTCTGTACTTCTACTGCAGCAGGCCTGAAAGGCAGGCCCCCAAATCCTTTGCTTACAAATCCTTTCCAGTTCCAGCTGTATATTAGTAAACAACTATAAATCTCCCCACACCCAACTCATTTTGCCTCTGTTTCTGCGTCATGCAACCAGTTTCTCCTCTGGCGTACTGGAGGTCATGGAGAAAGGACGGTTAACAGCACCCAAGCTGCCGAGCCAGCCCTCAGCTCAACAAAAATAAACTCTCAGGCACTAGCCATGCCAGCACATAGCGTCCTCCCAGACAGACTTCAGCAGGAGAAATGGAAAGAAACAAAGGCAGCTTTTTGGCCAACTCTAATGCCCGGGGCTCCTTATAAGGCTGTGGGATTCCAGACTCTCTGCTTGTTTTCTTTCAGGTCTCGCTGTTGGGCTCTCTCCAGTCCTTTTGTGGCTCACTTTACACAACTCCTAACCACAGCCATCTCCTACTCCCGCGTCATGCTGCTGGGGCTCGAGGGAAAGTCAGGCTTCGTCTTCACTTGGAAAAGAGTTTGTAACATGGGGTTAGTTAACACACAGCAGTTGTCTCTAAGCTCTACTTGGGGTTTACTTTGACCAGCCAGCAAGGGTTAAAATTACTCCTGCCTTGCCTTCACTCGGGCTACGTCTTCACTGCCAACATAAGGGGATTTTAACGTTCCCTTCAGTTATCTCACTGAAAATTCCAGTGGAGGCCATTTCTACTGAGCCTTTTGATGTAGCGAGGTGAAATCAAACCATGTGCCCCCCCATCACAATTATAACTACATAACCTTGTCTGCATTAGCATTTTACAGTGACCTGGCTAACACACACACACACACACACACACACACAAGCTTAGGGCAAGCCTACACTACAAAATTAAGTTGACCTAAGTTACGTCAACATACAGCCACTGCAGCAATTAAATCGCATTTGCACATCCACACTAAGCTCCTTGTGTCGGTGGTGCGTGTCCTCACCAAGAGCGCTTGCACCGATTTAAGGTGCGGGGAATTGTGGGACGGCTTCTGAAAGGCAGCCACAGTTGATGTAAGCAACACAGTGTCTGCACTGACACTGCATCCACCTAACTACATCGACTTAAGCTCTTTGCCTCTCGCGGAGGTGGCATTAGTAAGTCGGTGTGACGGGCGAGTTACATCGGTGGGAGCGACATTTTAGTGTAGATGCTGACAGTTAGGTCACCCATCAGTTATCTCACTGAAAATTCCAGTGGAGGCAACGCTAAGCTGAACCCTAAGCTGCTTTATGTCAACCTAACTCTGTAGCGCAGACTAGGCCTTAACTATGGTTTTGCTGTCATGTAACACCAAGTTCCTTAATACAGGTTTAAAATTCCTCGTGAAGATACAGCGGCTGTGGGTTAATACACTAGCCTGCCACCATTTGGAGAGCTGGGTTCAAATCTAGCCAGGAGCACAAGTGAGCTCAGGTTCGGGGGGGGGGGGGGGTCGGTCTCAACCTCGTTTGTACCCATTAGAGGCAAAACCAACATGCAATGTGACATCACTGACGGTCTCCTCTTAGACCTAGGACTGAAACAGTGACCAAGGTGCACTGGCAGAATTGTGTGGGAGCCCAGAGCATTCCTAGTCATGGACTGAGCTATTGTCAGAGCTGTGCAGGGATTAGTGAAGATTTGAGTCTGGCAGAGCTGGGGGTGTTGGGGGAACCTTAGTGCATTAATTCAAGACATGTCCACAGTCATCTGGGACACTCTGAAAATCTGGACCCTAAGGAGCCAGTTATAATGGGACCCTTGGGGTTGATGGCTTTAGGACCCCAGGCATGAATCCATCCATGTTTCATGAGCCAGTGCCTCCATTTCATATTTAACTAGCCCCAGCACAAGGAGCTGATGGGATCCTGCTTCAGGCTTCCGTTGATCAATCCACGTAGGTAATTGCCAAATTAATGAGCCCTACACTTTGCCTTTCCCATGACACCGAGCAACTGCTGAGGAGCGTTTCACCACGTGCTGGCCAATGGAATTCACAGTACAGAACTTGCCTGCGGCATCGCTCCACGTCTGGGTCCTCTCGAAAGTACTGCAGCCCTCCGTTCCTCAGGGCGTCCTCTGGATTGGCGAAAGCCTGGAAGAAAGAATTGCCATCTCAGAGGCGTGAGAAGATGCTTCCCACCAAGACTCACGGGAGTCTGAGGTGTAGAGCCCTGCGCAGATAGGACATTTGTATCTGCAGCTGATCAGCGGCTAGCCGCGGATTTGCAGGGCTCCAGAGCAAAGACGCTAAGTGCAATCAAGTTTGCTGCACAGTGCTAAGGTTGCTCAGTGAAAAGGGAGCCAGGAAACGGGGAGTTAATGTTCCCATGGCAAGGCCAGCTCCCTGTGCTGCTCCTAGCATGTAGGAGGTGATCCCTTTCTGTTCCTCATTAAATGTGCAGCTTTTACGCAGAGTCTTGGGACCCAGTCCTGCCAAGTCCCCTGTGCGCGATTAATTCAGTCACATGCTCTGACAAGCATTCGCAGGATCCAGCTCTTTGGCTGAGACTGTCAAAGCTGTTTAGGGATTTGGAGACCCAGGCCCAGCTCCTCAGAGGTATTTAGGGGCCTCATCTGCCTCTTTGGGCACCACTGACATTTTCAAAACAGCCCTCAGCTGCCACCCAGCCCCATAGGTACCAAGATCCCCATGGTGTTTACGTTTCCACCAATCAGTATTTGAAATGCTGCCTAAGCCGTGATGTTGACCCACAGCGAGCAAGCTGCTCAGAGCCCTTGCTGAAGCCTAAGCCACACAGGGCCAAAACACAGGAATGCCTATCCTGCCAATGGGACCCATCAGCGTGCTCTACCCCCAGACCCGATCCCTGTCAGACCCCCATTGCCAGAGGGCTGGATACAGACCGCCAATAGGGATGTGGGAGTGGGGGACAGCACAGCATCCCACAAAGAGACAACTGGGGGCACAGGGAAACTGGCATTTAGTTAAGGATTGATCCCCAACTTGATTTAGTTGGGGATTGGTCCTGCTTTGAGCAGGGGGTTGGACTAGATGACCTCCTGAGGTCGCTTCCAACCCTGATAATCTATGATTCCATGATTCTACGACAGGAAGAGCATGAGAGAAACACACACGCAGTGTTGGCTTCTAGGGCATGGACTATCTGAGTGGCTAACTTGGCTTTGGAGCCTAGCTCCAGAAGATGGAGGCACCTATCTCTGACCTGTCAGCCAGGGGCACCACGTCAGCTCTTAAGAGATCTAAGCCCCCTCCTTGGCATTTCACTCCTGTCTAGCTTAGATGAGTTGCATTAGGCACCTAATGCTCCCCTGCATTGACTGGGGAGCCGAGACACCCTGCTTGGGGCTGAGAATTCCACTGGGCAGCCAGCTGGAGCACAACAATGTTTAAGTACCTTAGTGGGAACTTGTACCGGAACTGGTACTGGGGCCCGATCTTCAAAAGTCAGTGGGACTTGGAAGAATCTCAGCCCTAGCGTTTATTGCACCCAGCAGAGGTGACAGCTGTTCCTCGGAGTTTCCATTCTCACCCCCTTTTCCAGTTGCTTACAATATAGTAAGTATAGTATAGTATAGTATAGTTTGGGGGAGGGATAGCTCAGTGGTTTGAGCATTGGCCTGCTAAACCCAGGGTTGTGAGTTCAATCCTTGAGGGGGCCATTTAGGGAACTGGGGCAAAAATTGGGATTGGTCCTGCTTTCAGCAGGGGGGTTGGACTAGATGACCTCCTGAGGTCCCTTCCAACCCTGATATTCTATGATAGTCTGAAGCTTTTGGGGGCTGAAGTTTTCCAGACTTGGGGTGAAATCCTGGCCTCGCTGGAGACAGTGCAAAACTCCCACTGACTCCAGGGGGACCAGGATTTCCCCCTTTTCACTCGTTTGTTCGGCAGTTCAGGGAGGAGGAAGTGATCGTCTCAAAAGGCTGAGCGAGGGTGAGAAGGAACTCACATATTTCTACTGTCAACATGTCAACACCACCTTCAAACAGAGCCCAAGCAAGGGAGGGCAAGACAGTTCTGAGCAACCAGGATTGTAATCAAAGTCAAAGGCGACACCTGGGAGGGACAAGAATGATCAGATGCTCCTGGGGGTGGCACATTCAGCAGGGAACCGCAGCAGCAAAAGGAGCAGAACGCGGGGTCGCCCTGCCCCCAGCCCTTCCACGCAGCTGTATCTCCTGTCTGGGTCTGTACAGCCCCACCAGAGGACAGGCCTGGAGGCAGCACAGCCTCACCGGAGGACAGAGCTCGGGGCTGGGCTAGGGGTGGGTACAGCCGCACTGGAGGAGTTGCTGGGGGGGAGCCACCTGGCAACCCCACATTCTGCTCCTTTCGCTGCTGCGGTTCCCAGGAGAGCCCTGCGGTTCAGGGAAAGGAGCAGAACGTGCCACACCGGCAGCTCTTCCAGCGCAGCTGTACTGGTACCAGCCCTGGCCCTGTCCTCTGGCTGTGCTGTACGGACCCCAGACTGGAGATGCAGCTGCGTGGAAGGGCTGCGGGATTTTTGTTTCTTTGTTTTAGAAGTAGAGCTGTAATACAATTTCCTGAACTGGCATTTGGTTAAGTTGCTTGAACTTGCTGTTTGAGCCCAAACCCCGTTACATACATCAGGGCTACAGCACAGAAGTGCCAGGTCCTCACCCTAGTTTTCACAGTGAGAAAGAGTCCTAAAAACAGGCCTGTTATTTAAACACACACACACACACACACCACACACACACGGCTTGACCAGTTTCCAGTAAAAATTTTACTAACATTTTGAACTGATTTATAGCAGACTTCTCTTTGTTGCAGGGCGTTCAGTTGGGATTTTTTTTTTAAAGGAAAAAGGACAGAATGTCCTAGCAAGAGGAGAAAAAACATGAGCTAATGTTTGATTGACTTCCGCTGACATGTGAGGCCAGCTTTTCTGCATGCACTAGGAGAATATTTCTGTTCTACTTCCCAACCCCAAAACAAGTTCCCTCTAGACTTGTTTACCTCCTAAGAAGTTAGGTCCTCCTGTAACAAACACAGGTAGGAATTCAGCCTTTAAAATGCCACAAGCAGACTCATAATTCACAGGTTGTTGGGGTTTTTTTTGCTATTCACTTAAACAACTTTTTAAAAATTAGTTTCTTACAGACAAACTGTCAAACTGATAGTTAGCGAATAGGCTGTTTCCAAAAGGAACTCACTTGCATGGCATTTTAGATTTGCAAATTACTGTTTATCTTTTTGAATCCTACTCTAAACATGTTGCAGATGAGAGGGAAATACTCACACACCACCCCAAGCTCATCTACTGCAGCTATAAAATAGTTTCCAACTTGCTTCAAAGCCTCAGTAAAATCAGTCAGCCACTATTTAAAGGAGCAAACTCAATACTAGCAGTTGCCGAAATGCTAACAGAAACCCCAAAGCAGTGCAGGCAGTTCTGGAGCGCAGAAAAGCTGGAACGTACCTTCTTTCTGAGCCTCACTTGTCCTGTAATGATGGCAAGAACATACATTTTTATAATCAAGATTGTGCTGTAGAAAGTAAACGATGCAAAGACTTCGTTTTCCATCATTTTCTGGAAAGGTGGGAGAGGATTTGCGTTTCCTTAAGCAGGCTTCAGCCACTAGCGATCTCAGTTCAGAGATTGATTCTGTGAGAGAGGGGGAAGGATCACTGTTTTACTCAAGTCTAAACATAAACTTGTACACCCACAGACCGCCTCTTGCTTCGTACACCCAGCATTGCAACAGCTATTCAATTCTAAACCACTCAACCATATTTTAATTCCTCAGATCTATAGATACAAAAAATCCACAAGTAACAAAGAAAGACACCCCCCCCGCAAACACACATACTTTGAACCCTAGAACGGACCTATTCCACATTATTTTCATAACATATTGGTGACTCTGTGGATAGTTATAATAGCAAGCCCTAGCTCTTCTTCAGTGCTCCAGCTGGGACATTTTTGACAATATAGGTACATCAGTCAGGGGTGTTTGATCCCTGACCCACAGAGTTGTGCGCAGCAGTCTGCCCACATGCTAGCTTACCTGGTGTCACCCTCTTCCACAGGGGCCCTCTAGGTCCAGTCCTTCAAACCCTGCCAGCAGGGCTTTGCCCTCTCGCTTCCAGCTTCAGGTCAGTGCTTGGATCAAAGTGAGGGTCACTCAGGCAGTTCCTGCTGACCCTTTAGCCACAAAAACTTGTGTAAAAAGAAAAGGAGGACCTGTGGCACCTTAGAGACTAACCAATTTATTTGAGCACAAGCTTTCGGGAGCTACAGCTCACTTTATCGGATGCATACTGTGGAAAGTGTAGAAGATCTTTTTATACACACAAAGCATGAAAAAATACCTCCCCCCACCCCACTCTCCTGCTGGTAATAGCTTATCTAAAGTGATCACTCTCCTTACAATGTGTATGATAATCAAGTTGGGCCATTTCCAGCACAAATCCAGGTTTTCTCACACACCCCACCCCCCCCACACACAAACCCACTCTCCTGTTGGTAATAGCTTATCTAAAGTGACCACTCTCCTTACAATGTGTATGATAATCAAGGTGGGCCATTTCCAGCACAAATCCAGGGTTTAACAAAAACGTCTGGGGGAGGGGAGGGGAGGAAAAAACAAGGGGAAATAGGTTACCTTGCATAATGACTTAGCCACTCCCAATCTCTATTCAAGCCTAAGTTAATTGTATCCAATTTGCAAATGAATTCCAATTCAGCAGTCTCTCGCTGAAGTCTGGATTTGAAGTTTTTTTGTTGTAATATCGCAACTTTCGTGTCTGTAATCGCGTGACCAGAGAGATTGAAGTGTTCTCCGACTGGTTTATGAATGTTATAATTCTTGACATCTGATTTGTGTCTATTTATTCTTTTACATAGAGACTGTCCAGTTTGACCAATGTACATGGCAGAGGGGCATTGCTGGCACATGATGGCATATATCACATTGGTGGATGTGCAGGTGAACGAGCCTCTGATAGTGTGGCTGATGTTATTAGGCCCTGTGATTGTGTCCCCTGAATAGATATGTGGGCACAGTTGGCAACGGGCTTTGTTGCAAGGATAGGTTCCTGGGTTAGTGGTTCTGTTGTGTGGTATGTGGTTGCTGGTGAGTATTTGCTTCAGGTTGGGGGGCTGTCTGTAGGCAAGGACTGGCCTGTTTCCCAAGATTTGTGAGAGTGTTGGGTCATCCTTCAGGATAGGCTGTAGATCCTTAATAATGCGTTGGAGGGGTTTTAGTTGGGGGCTGAAGGTGACGGCTAGTGGCGTTCTGTTATTTTCTTTGTTAGGCCTGTCCTGTAGTAGGTTACTTCTGGGAACTCTTCTGGCTCTGTCAATCTGTTTCTTCACTTCTGCAGGTGGGTATTGTAGTTGTAAGAATGCTTGATAGAGATCTTGTAGGTGTTTGTCTCTGTCTGAGGGGTTGGAGCAAATGCGGTTGTATCGCAGAGCTTGGGTGTAGACAATGGATCGTGTGGTGTGGTCAGGGTGAAAGTTGGAGGCATGTAGGTAGGAATAGCGGTCAGTAGGTTTCCGATATAGGATGGTGTTTATGTGACCATCGTTTATTAGCACTGTAGTGTCCAGGAAGTGGATCTCTTGTGTGGACTGGACCAGGCTGAGGTTGATGGTGGGATGGAAATTGTTGAAATCATGGTGGAATTCCTCAAGGGCTTCTTTTCCATGGGTCCAGATGATGAAGATGTCATCAATATAGCGCAAGTAGAGTGGGGCGTTAGGGGACGAGAGCTGAGGAAGTGTTCTAAGTCAGCCATAAAAATGTTGGCATACTGTGTGGCCATGTGGGTACCCATAGCAGTGCCGCTGATTTGAAGGTATACATTGTCCCCAAATGAAGTGAGCTGTAGCTCACAAAAGCTTATGCTCAAATAAATTGGTTAGTCTCTAAGGTGCCACAAGTACTCCTTTTTCTTTTTGCAAATACAGACTAACACGGCTGTTACCCAAAAACTTATGTGTCTCCCTGGGCCTCTTGAATCTGCTCTGACCAGTCTGTACAATTCCCCCCAGGGGCTGCTACTTCTCTGGAGTGATTTACCTGTCCTGGGATTTGCAGTAATTAGCCTCCCACTGATATTAATGCCTGGGGGAAACTCAGCTAGAATACAATCCTTCACTCACACAGACACACGGTTTCATAGCAATTCCCTGGGCCCAGGCGTCGGGCACATCTTGCTGTAATAGTCTCTTTAAATCTCCACATTTCCAAGGTTTCACCTCTGCCACAAACTTATTTGCTTTTGGAGGGCGGGGAGAGGAGGGGAAGTGGGGGGTCTCAAATAAGCTATCCTGGTTTTGCTAGTAAACGGTGTCCACAATAAGAGCAGTATGCCAGCGTGGCAGACTGGCGTTGCTATCCTGGCGAAGCACGCTTAGTGTACATCTGGCCTGGGCTAGCATTGTAGCTTTAAGGTTTTCTGGACATTTTGGGTCCAGTCCTCCCCCTGTTTGAGGCAATGATAAAACTCCTGTTAAGGTGCATGGTGCAGGATCAGGTGCTATGTTTTCTCACTGTAGCACAGGGGTGGGCAAACTATGGCCTGGGGGCCACATCCTGCCCTTTAGACGTTTTAATCCAGCCCTTGAACTCCTGCCGGGGAGTGGGGTCCGGGGCTTGCCCTGCTCCGCATGGCTCCCGGAAACGGCGGCATGTCCCCCCTCTAGCTCCTATGCATAGGGGCAGGTAGGTGGGTCCACATGCTGCCCCCGCCCCAAGCGCCGCCACCGCAGCTCCCATTGGCCAGGAACCATGGCCAATGGGAGCTGCACGGGCGGTGCCTGTGGATGGGGCAGCGTGCAGTGCCGCCTGGCCGCTTCCCTGCGTAGGAGCCGGAGTGGGGACATGCCGCTGCTTCTGGGAGCTGCTTGAGGTAAGCACTGCCCGGAGCCTGCACCCCTGACCCCTTCCTGCACCCCAACCCCCTGCCCTAGTCCTGATCCCCCTCCTGCCCTCTGAGCCCCTTGGTCCCAGCTCAGAGCACCCTCCTGCATCCCCAATCCCTCATCCCCAGTCCCACCCCAGAGCCCACACCTCCAGCTGGAGCCCTCACCCCCCGCCCCGTACCTCAACCTCCTGCCCCAGTCTGGAGCCCCCTCCCACACCCTGAACTACTCATTTCTGGCCCTACCCCAGAGCCCTCAGCCCCTCCCGCACCCCACTCCCCAATTTTGTGAGCATTCATGGCCCACCATAAAATTTCCATACCCAGATGTGGCCCGAGGGCCAAAAAGTTTGCCCACCCCTGCTGTAGCAAGTACTGATGTGGTCTATAGTAGTACTTGGCCGCATGATGGCTCAGGGCGGGGGAGTGGGAAAGGGCTAAGAAAAGGGCTCTACGGGGCTGGTACCAATCCAAACAGCATCACATTTTTAAAATACACACGCACGACTGCCCTCGTTCGATAAGAAAAAGCAACATGCACCCAACATGCCAGCAAGCAGGAATCAAACCACATCTTGATGGATCTGCAGTGGTTCTCAACCAGGGGTACGCGTACCCCTGGGAGTACGCAGAGGTCTTCCAGTGCATACATCAACTCATCCAGATATTTGCCTAGTTTTACAACAGGCTACATAAAAAACACTAGCAAAGTCAGTTTCCTACAGACAATGACTGGTTTATACTGCTCTATATACTATACACTGAAACGTAAGTACAATATTTATATTCCAGTTGGTGTATTTGATCATCATATAGTAACAATGAGAAAGTCAGCAATTTTCAGTAATAGTGTGCGGCGACGCTTTTGTATTTTTATGTCTGATTTTGTAAGCAAGTAGTTTTTAAGTGAGGTGTAACTTGGGGTACACAAGACAAATCAGACTCCTGAAAATAGTCTGGAAAGGCTGAAAGCCACTGATGTATAGTAGCAAAACCAGGTCTGGTCCTGAACCAGAGATTTATTTATGTAGAAATTGGGTAGGTTCTTTTCTCTGCTTGGGTCACTAATCCAAGCTTCCTCCCACAGCTGAAGAGTGACCCAAGGACTCTAGCCCATCCCCAGGATATCACCAAGCCTGTTAAAGAGAACAAGGGAAGGGTGGGTTAAGGCAGGATGTTGCTTCTCAGCCTCCCATCCCCAAGGAGTCATTAGACCCACAGTCTCACTGAGGTGGGGAAGCGGCCATGTTTGTTCTGTTCCTCAAATGTAACCTTGAAAAACAATGAGTTGCTTAGTGCTTTCCGGCTGGGATTAGAGCTGAGGAAGCCGTTTCTGTCTGGGCAATTCGTCATTCCAGGCCACGCTGCAGCCTTGCACACAAGTTTTATGCTCCGTAGGCCACAGCGGAGCAGAGACTCTTCTCTGCCCCCGTCCAACACGGCCTCCATTGTTGGGGGGTTATCTGTCCTGTGCAGTGCATCTGTCTGCTGTCCCCTCCCATGTTCACAGCATAGGGCTGGATCTATAAAACCCACCAACAGGCCAATCAAGCCCGAGAGCGGGAAATTCTCGGCCATTACTTATACATTGGAACTGCAGCTGCTCCTCTGGCAGTCAGAACAGCATCACCTCCTGCTGGCTGATCAGTCATTTCAAGGACGGGCCAAAGGTACCATGCCCAGGGCGGATTTGGTTTTTTTAAGCAATACCTGAGACTTGATGCATTTGGAAGGCAAGAAAACCAGGGCTTTTCCCAAGTAGCTTATGGGCCCCAGTTCAAAGATCCCAGGGTGGCAAGCGATCAGGTTGAACACACGAAGGGTAGATTTTCAGAAGAGCTCACGGCCAGATTTCCCAGCACCTCCCACTGTGCTGCTTACGGCCAGGTTTTCAACAGAGCTCAGCACCCAGCATGCACCAAGCCCATCGAGCTCTGACCCATCTCGTTTGGGAGGGAGGGGGGCAGGCAGGACACAAGCCAGCAAGGGGCAGCTCATGAAGAGTGGGTCCCAGCAGCATGTGGTGCTGTGTTTAGTAAAACACCTACCAGCAGGCCAAGCAACCCATTGGAGGTGGGCAGGAAAGGGGTACATATGTCTCCCAGCCAGCCCCAGAGCCACAGACGTTGAAAGGGTTAATCATTCCCCACTATCACATTCGGGGATCAGCAGCTTGTCAGCACCCACCCCCAGGTCACAGCCACACTGACTGCAAATGCCCGACTTTCTTTCCCCAGGAGCTCTGCAGCAAGGGGACGGAAAATTCCCTTTGCTGCTGGCCGTTTGCAAGGTGGAGAAACAATCCAGGCCAGGAGCCATAGGCCAGCCTAGGTATCAGCTCCACTTCCCCTGTGCTATTTACAGAGAAGAGGTGGCTAAATGACTTTGACTTCTAATTAGTTGGCAGATCGGA